GCCGTGGTGACCCCTTCATTATTTTAACCCAACGTTGAACTGAACTTTTTACAATCAGACGCCTCCTAATCACATCCGACATTTCAAAGAATATTCCCTTCTTTCCCCCCACCCCTCTGCCTCTGTCCTTTTAAAAAGGCTTGCCATGAATTGGCAATATATTGTCTGCCTTTAGCATTGCCAAAAAAAAAAAAGTCTTTTGTTTTTGGGAAGCTGCTGGACTGCATATTAGTATACCTTTAAATTAATATTTAACTATTTTTGACATCTGCCAAGTTAAAAGGCGTTCTGAAACAAAGCATCCTACTATTGAGAAGGTTTCTGAAATTTGCATTAAACCTGTTTTGCTAGGGAAGGTTGCCCATTAAATTACGGTTAACAGGACGTTGTTTTCTATGTGGTTGATGAGTGGATTATGACCTAACCCAAGTTAGGGTTAATCAATATTTGCCTGTAACTTACTTACTGTATTCAGCACTCATTGATGACAAATCTTTCCTTTATGACTTCCCCAAAACTCTGGTTTTAAAGCTAATGACATTCACGGAATTGATTTGCAATGTATTTTGAGCTATAAGAATTTAACTTTCTCATCCCAGTCATCTGGTTGTTGCATCACCTCCATTCAAATGTGATGTGATCAGACCGTCCCTTTTTTACCAGTTTTTGAACTGAGTTCTCAGTCTCTCACATACCGTTCCAGGAACATCACTTTTTACGAAAAATAAACCAGTCCTCTGGATTTGTGTTTGAAAGGCTCTTGAGGGGGGAAAAAAAACCTGTGTTTAGAAATACTTAGTGGCCAATTACCTCTTCCGGTTCAACTGAATAGATGGCTCTTAGCCCAGAGGCATGGCTTAGAAAATGAGTTTGCAAAAACATTTAATCAGGTTGGTCAAAGACCCTGCAACTTGATTTTTATAAAGTTTGTTAACTTTAACTTGAGTTAATAATAATAATAATAATAATAATAATAATAATAATAATAATAATAATAATAATAATAATAATAATAATAATAATAATAATAAAGTTGGAAGGGACCTTGGAGGTCATCTAGTCCAACCCCCTGCTCAGGCAGGAAACCCTATACCATTTCAGACAAATGGCTGTCCAGTCTCTTCTTAAAAACTTCCAATGTTGGAG